GAATATAATTTTATTTTGTGTTGCAAAGTTGTGCTCGGTTATGCCAACACGAAGCGACCCTGGTGGCCACGCATGGTACTACGTCCAACCTCCATATGGAACGTGTAGGAGCTGGCTCTACCTGCAGCCATATTTCTGAAGTACGTTCCACGAATGGGGTAAAGGAAGCGTAAATGTCTACTCCTTGCGATTTGGTGAAAAACACAGTTCGGGGAATAAGATCTCAAATTTGTGACGATGGTACATTGGTAAAACTTGTATCCATCTAGAAACCGTCCTGTTTATTCTTCAAAGCACCCAGGACAGTTTCTGGATAGAGACAAGACGATGGACAATATCTGCACCAGTTCAAGGAAGTAGTCGTTTCGTAGCTTCATGCTGTGTCATCCTCTTGCCTATATAAAACGTTTTTGTAATAAATGAACATGGTGTCCGGGCCGATGCGAAATTGCACACAATACATTACTGAGTATAATCCTATGGACTGTGATACGGATAATCTGGCAGTTCACCAAATCTTTGCCCTCAGGGTCGAAAATCAAGTTAATCGAGTTTACTGCTTACTGCCTTCTTGTTCGTACGAGTCTGGCTCGCGAGTCCGGCTCGGCGAGGAGCAGGGCTCGGATTAATTTCACCACACACGTATTAGCGTGGCGACACACACACGGACGAGTTTGGCTCATTGGAATCCGAGCCGAGTAGGACTCGCGAGCCAGACTCGTACGTGTATGGGCCCCCTTACTCTTCAACACTTGATGCTGCCAGGCGAAACGGCGTCACATCCTAGAAGCACTAATCTCCACAGTCACCACAATGAGAACCTCAGAGCTCCAACATCGGAACGACTTGCAGCGGAAAGTACGTTGCTCGGCAAGGGCTGACAGCCGAACTCGCTGCTCTGTCTTAAGCACGGGCGGCAATCTTACGCACAGTTTCGCGTATCCTCTACTGCGGCGGTGTCGCTGTATTTGTTACTAGCAAGTGGGACATTACATCAATGTTCTGGCATTCTGTACTTCGCCCACGTTAATATCAGCATAGCCGTCCTTTTGCTTAATTCACTCACTCAGAAGCCACCAATTGTGCAGCTACTCAAGAACTTCCTAGCATTTTATGGAGCCCGAAGGTTCATTACCGTGTTCACAACAGCCCTCGACTGGTCCCTATCCTGAGCCAGGTTAATCTAATCTATACCATCCCATCCTATCTAAGATCCATTTTAATACTGTCCACCCACCTACGTCTTGGTCTTCCCAGTGGTCTCCTTCCTTCCGCCTTTCCCACCAATATCCCATTAGCAATCCTCCTCTCTCTCTCTCTCTCTCTCTCTCATTCGTGCTACATGCCCTACCCATCCAATCCTCCTTAACCTGATCATTCTAATTACACTTGGAGAAGAGTACAAGTTATGAAGCTATTCGCTTAATTAAGCTGAGTAAACTGAAAATAGGAGATGAATACTTTCTCTCCACTCGCGACAGAACAAGCGTGGGGCACGCCAGGGCGACGGCTTGATACGTAAATTTCGTTCATGGCCGTCATCTAGGTTCTGGGCAGTGTTCATTAGCCCGAGTGTTAATCAATCTCTTCAAGTTAGGCGAGGATGTTAATAAGGAGCTTCATAATTTGTAATCTTTGCCAATTATAATAAGAATGGTCAAGTAAAGGAGGGTGTGATGGGCAGGGCATGTAGCACTCAAGGAAAGAAGAGCAACGCATACAAGATTTTGGTGGGAAATGCAGACGGAGAGATCACTACGAAGACCTAGAAGTAGATGAGATAATAATAAAATGGATCTTAGAGAGATAGAATGGGGTGATATGGACTGGACTGACCTGGCTCAGAATCGAAACCAGTGAACATGGCAACGAACCTGCAGGTTGCATAAAATATAGGGAAACTTTTGAGTAACAGCGAATTGTAGTTTCACAGGAAGGACCCAGCGCCGCGGAGTTAGATAACCAGGCAAGCACGTCCTGAAGTGCGCGTGGAGGTGCAGTCTCAGCAGCAGGAGCCTCCAGAAGAGGGGGGCCGGCAGGTACATCATGACTAAGTGCAAGTGTTCCCTCTCCACCTCTGGGCTCACAGCGGCCGGAGGGTAAAGCTATCCACATATATCAATTTAAGTCCAGAGGCTAAGAATGAGAGGAGAGTTATCTCACCTCCAGACCTTCTTGGTAACACACAGGGGCACAGAGGTAAATCTATGTTTGCCTCTGCGTTTATTGTCTACCTGTCTATTTGCTTTATTCAGTCATTTGTTGGTCCATCATCCGCTTAGTGTGTAGCTACTCTGAATGGGGGCATGATGTCTGCATCTTTTGGCCTACGTCAGATCCACGGATTAGAAGATTTTGCTGGCTGTGACTCCAAGCGTAATTCTGCAATTGCCAGCGCAATATTCTTACACCATGTAGAACTGTGGTCTCTTGATTCCATGTCCTTAAACCAATCTCAAGTAAAAACTGTTGTGCTGTAACGTAGTTGAAACGCAGAAAGTGACAAGTTTTTAAAAGTAACAACAATATTTTCAAAACCCGTGTAAAATTACGGTCTCCTATGCTGTTGTAGGATTTGAAAGTTCCCACAGCAGTGGGTATGAAGATTTCTATGTCCTTAGACATAACGCCGTGTAGTATGTTGAAAGTCAACTGATGTTTCGGAGGAACATGTCGCCTCCATCTTCAGGACCGAAGAATAAGACAACTCTAAAGAAAGAGGCGACGTTATTCTCCGAAATGTCTGTTGACTTTCAAAGAAGTAGACGGATTTGTATGGTTTATATATGGAACTGTCGTTAAGCTGTTATCTCTTCTGTTGAGCTGATAATCTTACGGTCTCGATGTTTTATCTGCATACCAACCATACAGAACGATGCATTCCGAGACACGAAGTTTCCACTACGATCGCTGTTCATTTCGTCAGGTGGGAACACGATATCTGTATTGTAACTGCTAACCTCAGTTTCCATAGATCTGAACTGTCCTAGTAACTTTGAGATGTTACGAATAACAATTCTGAGCAGATTTCTTGTTTCCCCCAGATATGATAGAACACGACTATACAGCTTCTAGTTTTGGCGCGGACTCACCAACTCACGCGTAAAAAAGCAAATTACATGTTAGGAATGTCACAGTGGGCCTTAGAGAATTCGACGGAATTTTCAGGACGACCTAAGCAGAAAAAGCTTGTTATTGTCATGTGTAGGGGCGGGGCGTGGCTTAGAAACGGGTTCTGGATTGGTTGATTGGATTTATTGACACCTTATTCACACAACTCGGGACTAAAGGCAATTACAAAGCTGTCACTATTCTACACACGTCACCCCTGCAAACACACTATGGTTCTCAGTCTTCACTAGTCGTATCCACGCAACGGATTTATAAAAGTCTCACTGTCACTTCAAATCACACATGAAGTCTTCTATGCCTTAATTCTGCAACTGCCAACTCAATCCAATTCAGTTCCTCTGCTCCCAGGCTCATATCCAGGCAGCTGGCGTCTAGAAACTCGGTCCCATTCCATGCTGTCACTGCCAGCTTCGGAACTTCTCTTTAAACAAGACTTCGCACAGACCACGCAGAAAACATAGCCTCTCTTTTGTTGGGAAGGCATGTTTACAGCGCCACTGCATAGCAACGGAAGTGACTCGATTGTTGTTTGCGTATTTGTTGCCGCTGGAATGTGTTTACCTAGTCGTTGCCTAGCAATGGACATCTATTCTGACTTTATTACTCCGACTTTCGGGCATCAATTTACTCTATCATTCAATTTTCAAAATCTTTATTTTTCCGTCTTCTATATAAATAAAATCAGAATAAATATAATTTTATTATTTTGGCATCACACCCAAAGGGAAGAACAGAGATTCAGGTTCTTTAAGAACACAGCGCTGAGGAGAATATTTAGGTTTGAGAGACAATAAGTATCAGGAGTACTGAGAAAATTACATCATGACGAACATCATAATTTGTACGAGAGTGATAGGGCATGTAGCACGTTTCAGGAAGATCATAAACGGGCGAAAAATCTAGTCCCCAAAATCTGTAAAGAGGAAATCACTTTGGTGATCCAGAAGCAAATGGGAAGATAATATTAAAATGAATCTTAAGATTAAGTAATGAGGGTGTAAATTAGATTCTACTGACTGTGGAAAGGGCCCAACAGTAGTAAACCTTTGGGTTCCATAAGAAGTCCGCGGGATTTCTTGACCAGCTGAACTAATTCAAGCAATTTCCAACACTGGAGTTAAAGGAAACAAAAGAAAGAAATTCCTTCATTTCCACTGAATTATATATTTCGCACTTTCCAGACGAGTTCCAGTGAAGGCGGTCAAGTGTTCTGGATTCTACTGACTTTTTGGAATGACGAAGTTGGTTAAAAACAAAACACTGAAAGAAACGAGATTTGTTATTTTCCAGCGCACCCGGCGGCAATAGCAGCATCCTGAGGTCAATGGCAAAGAACATACCGCTAGGAGCGCTACCATCGCCAGGTAGCAGAAGACACTTTGTTCTGGCGCCGTGACAGGCGGAGGGGAAGGCAAGTATCTATGGTAACTGTGAGGAAGCAAGAATGGCTTCACTCCTGCTATCACAAGCAGGCAGATGGCAGCTATACTGAGGTTTCGATGATGTGGTAACACACCGAGTTATTTGAAAACACAGCAAGACTGGACACGGTTTGAACTGCTGCATACAGAACTTGACTTCTGCGTGTTTGGTTTCCTATATAACCATGCGTTAAAATTACCGATGAGAGTATTTTAAATATCTGAAGTTCGAGTCGATTTAATAAAATCAGTTTGCAGAATTTTTGTATAACGTCGTTTAGATCCCTCCAGAACATTATATTTTTCTGCCGGTGTACCCGACAACTTCAAAGTCCTCAGTCCCAAGCACAAATGCAGGCCGAATATGTGATGCTCCATCGTGAAAATGGGCGCCGAGGCATCTAGAACTTTTTTTGAAGACGCGGATAATTGCTAAGTGAGCGCGAGATGGAGCCAATCTTCAGCAACAGCAACGGCAACAGCAGGAGAAGCGGAGCCCGACGCGGTGTGTATCAGGCCGCTCCATTCGGGACACCTCCACTCGGAAGACAGGTGAGTTGTTTGCTTTTGCCAAAGCCTTGAGCACCACGCGCAGAGGCCACGTTAGTGCTGGGTCATGAATTCTAGACGCTGCTTACTAAAACATGGGAGCTCCAAAGCAGAGTGACACAAAATTCACCGTGTCCCTTTGGAGCAGAGATCGTCAGATGCAATACACATGACAACTTGAATAATAATAAGCAGGACAAGCAGCAATGAAATTTCAGTGGGGGCATGCGCAATTATCCTTAAAGAATAGAACGAAATATTAAAATATCACTATTTTAGAGATCCGTAAGGTAGCACTCCTTTACACCAAACATGCTGGATGCGGGCGCGGATAAGTGAAGATATACTTCAAGGGTTATCTTTACAATTCTGTGCCATTGTGGTCCCTCTGTTTGCGCTGTTCACCAGTAAACATATGCACTTGTACGTTTTCTCGTAATTATATGTTACTTATTTACTTAATTTTCCTGGGCCATCTTTGAGCCGATTGTCTAGATAGTGTGGGACCCTCAACGTCTCACAACCCTATGGGCCTTCACGGCCTGGTACAGGGATAGCTTTACTTTTTTTTTTACTTTACTTACTCATGGAGCTGAGCCCTTCTTGAGAAGCTGCCAAATCTGCAGCTACTCAAGAATTTCCCAGCATTTTATGGAACCCGAAGGTTCATTACCGTGTTCACAAGAGCCCTCCACTGGTCCCTATCCTGAGCCAGATCTATCCAATCCATACCATCCCATCCTATCTCTCTAAGATCCATTTTAATACTGTCACCCATTTACGCCTTGTCTTCCCTGTGGTCTCTTTCCTTCTGGTTTTCCCACCAATACCCTATAAGCATTCCTCGTCTCCCCCATTCGTGCTACATGACCTGCCCACCTCATCCTCCTTGACTTGATCATTCTAATTATACTTGGAGAAGAGTACAAGTTATGAAGCTCCTCATTATGCAGTTTTCTCCTACCTCCTGTCACTTCATCTCCTCAACGCCCTGTTCTCAAACACCCTCCGTCTATGTTCCTCTCTTAATGTCACAGATCAAGTTTCACACCTCATGTTTATGTGTTTCTATCATAAATTTGATTTCCGTTAGAAGTTAGCTTATCTCGCTTTGCCTTTTATTTGGGTCTAGCAGTTACTAACAAAACACCATTGTTGTAAGAAGCTTGGCGGTTGGCGACGTAATAAACGGGTTTAAGTGAACTTGTCACCTTACTTATTCATATGCAAGGAAATGTCGACGGTATTCTCCAGCAGAGAAGCTCTCGGATTAATTACGTGTGGCTGGTATTTGGGTGCCAGGAGATGACGAAGTGATCCCGCCGTAAGACCGGAATCTGTGAATATGGCAAAACTGACGTCACAGTGTCACCTGGAGCGGTTCTGCGTGCTGCAGGTCATACCGGGCTGTCACTTAAACAGGCAGAGATAAGCCATGCAGAGTCAATGCAATGGAACGAGATGTATGCAAAGCGGATTTGCGAAGTTTCTTCAGCAGACGTTGAATGATCGGCTGCTGATCACGTGCGGTGAACTGGATGTCAATAATAAAGAAACCATATCACCCTGTTTTAGGGTTTCTTCTACAGCAACAAAGGAATGCAGTCGGTGCCCTTCCGAGACAAATTCTTCTAGTGACAAATCTTGATGTATGGTAAAGTGTAAGGTAGGGGCAATAAGTTCCGTTTTGAAGTTTCAGCGACGCTTTATCAGCTGGGTAGGCTACATGACACTAAGTGTTAAGATAAATGTGAATTGGGAAGGAAAAATTTCGGATTCTTTATGAAGTATCTAACGAGCCATATCTGGAGGAAAAAGAAAAGTCACGTGTCACGATACTCGGTGTGTGGGTTGAGAATCGAACTGATTTATGAAGCAAGACGCCGCTATTCAGAAGCGGCAGAACGGTGCGTCGGCGGCAAGTTGAATGTTACGCGGGCCACGTGACCTTGTGAGGTCGGGCTGTTTCATTCACAGCCTTTACCTGTTTCTTTCAAGGTGAAAGTGTAGAAGGATCCCGCAACTGTAAACTGAAGATGTCGCAACAGAAGAGCGTGACCGACCGTTTGGAGTGTATCTCATTGGTCGCAATGAATCAGTAATACATTCTATTAATTCAAACAACGTCCAGAGACAAATAATTCACTTAAATATTCGCCATATCGAGAATGTTTGAAAATAAAATTTTCAGATATTAATGATTTATAGTGAAGAGAACATATGGCTTGGCACGGAACCGTTGGGAGTGCAACACGTGATCAGCATCGGTCACTGCAAGACGGTTTCAGGCACAAAGTTGGCGCGAGGTGGCGTGTTCTTGCGTGCAGAAGACGATATTTGGAAAACTGAGAGGAGGAAGAGGACGGTAGGATGAACGAGAACAAGCAGAAGAAAGAGAGGAAATGGTGTAGCCGGGGGGGTGGGGGGGGAGTAAGGACTTTGAGAACGAAAAGGAGGCTGAGATGAGAAGACCTCCCGGCCGTGAGGGTGCGACCTACGGTCCCAAGGAACCTCCCGGCCCCACATTCAGCGCACAAGTTTAAGAGAGGAAATGAGGCAGGCTCATGGCGTGACACTTCTGGAGCGTTCGCTCACTTTCCTTTAACCATTTCAAAAATCGCAGGAAAGCCTCTATTAAACATAAAACGCGTGTTACGAAAATCTCTAGTGTTTCAAATATTTTTCGTTCCGACGAATATGTAGTGAGCAGAAATGGTGATAAATATTATACCATGATTCTTCGGAATTTTTTCATAAGGCTGTATTCTCCGAGCTGAAGTACTGTGTTTTCCTTTCTGAGGACCAATGCCCATCATTAGACGGGGGCCGATACAAGAGACACTATGGGCTGTCCGACTGTTGACGTCACGTCCAGACCCTAAAGAGATAACAAAGACAATGCATTGTATTTATTGTGTGTAGTGTGTTCATTGTTGTTTGTGTAGTTTTGTGTGCTGTTTTGTTTGATGTGTGTTATTTGTGTGTTGTGTCTTATTGTAGTACCACTGCAACCGGAGAAAAACCCATTTACAGTTAAAATAAATAAATAAATGATAAAATTTTAACTGTGCTCGGCATTTGTGTTTGTAAAGCAGGAGTATGCTGGGGAAAATACTCGAGGTTCACGATCATTCATAGCAGATGGACATGCATTATTGGCGCGGATACTACACCGAAATTATAAATTAAGTATTGAAAATTTGTCATGGACGGTACAGATAAGCCATTAAACTTCATAAAGCCCTTAAACGTTCACAACGCTGAAAAATGTTCCGAGTAAAATTTGATCTCAGTGAAATTTATTTGCCCTAGTTAGTTAGTTATTGGAGAGGGTGGGTTTCCCCATGCACTTAGACCTGTATTGGTCCATTGTGCTTCCTTCTATGATTTCTACCAGTCTCTATATCCTACAGGTACTGGTGCTTACCATCAGTCCCGCCCAGCCAGCGAGACCGGCTCTACTAGCTGAGAGGTATCTATAATGCTTCCCCCATCTACCGGAGGTATTAGAGACTGCTGTTGGGCGGGAAACGTCCGTAATTTGGCTCAGTGGCCTCCTTTGGAGATATGAGGATATTTTTACGTGCCGTAAAGCTACGACACGGGACCCACGGCTTAAAGTCCCTCCCGGAGGACTTGTTCCCTGAATTTTTCCGCCCTTAAAAATTCGACGACCTCCGCCGGGTATTTGAACCCGCGTACTAAGAGTCATGAGGTGAGAACGTTACCTCTAGACTACGGAGGCCGCTTTATTTGCCCTAAATTTATGTCACAAGGGCCGTTTCTGTTTTGATTATGTTTTTAAAAACATCAGGATGAAAAGGCAGAAATGAATATGTAGGCGATGCTTCCAGAGACGGGAGGCCGGAGCAGGATCATTGCTTCCAGGGACGGTAGGCCGGAGCAGGATTCATTGCTTCCAGAACTCTTGGGCCATGAACAAGCAAACTGGTCCCGCATTTTTCAGTCCACAAAACGAAAAGCAGACGAAATGTGTACGGACGTAACGTCTAGAAACCAACTGGTCTTGTTATTATGACGCTACAAGAACTAAATTCTGACCTGAGCCGCTCAATCATAAGGAGACGTGGGTTCACGCAGTGCAATGCTGCAGTCGTGCAGGTACCAGCATCGTTATAACTGACCCCACTATCCGGCATGCTGCCAGCGGTTAAACGGAAATGTGCCATTTGCTTCATTCGGCTACGGTCGCCAGATTGTTGGTCGTCATGGTAACGGGGATGCGTTCAGTCGCACCGACCCTCAGCTTTCGTGCCACGAGTCTGCGCACGACGAAACAACTTCTTCACGGGGCTCAATAATTTATCCCATTGCCCCAACACATTCTTGGACAGAGCGAGCGCTAGTATCGAGGCTTAGGACTCGCCGTAATTTCACCAGTTTGGGGTTTGTTCCATGTCTTATTCCTCCATGCCGTTGGAACACGCCTTTATAATAACAAGGAGCAATTTCTATGATTTTGCCGGGAAAATAAAACTGCGAAGGACAGGAAGAGAGAGAGAAATGAGGAGTGGAGACAGTAGGAACTAGCTACCAAAGACTGATGTCTCTCCAGCGTGTAGTTCCGTGCATGGTTACCAACACTTGCAGGAAATACCACCGACACGTTGGTAACTGCTTACGAAATATACGAAGTTATAACTCAGAGGACTGCGATCCTCATAAGTCCCGAACCATATCAACTACTAGCATTTCTAGCCCTCTCTTCAACCAGTCGGCTAGTTCTCTTGTGTTCCTGGAAGGGGGTGAGACTGAGTCCACTTGGTACTGCGGCAACTAACTGTCCTACTGTACCAGCCCCGGATGATAGATGATCAGTGTGGAGTGTGAATGAGAATTGGCGGGGAAAACCGAAGTATCGTGGAGAAAACCTGCCCCAATGCCACTCTGTCCACCACAAATCCCACATAACCTGAGGTGGGCTCGAACCCGGGCCGCCGCGGTGGGAAGTCGGCTACTAACCGCCTGAGCTGTGGCACGGC